TGTGTGTGTGTGTGTGTGTGTGTGTGTGTGTGTGTGTGTTGTGACTACAAAGCGCACAGCGGCAAGCAGCGTTTTCTCTTTCATTTTCTTCTGCGCATGTGTGTGGAAAAGAAGTAATACAAAATAAAAACAGTGGGCAATGCAAAAAAAAAACATCATTGGAGACGCACATTTTTCCAGCAGCACGAGACTCACGCTGCAGATATGTCTGTGTCCACCTCGCAGAGAAAAACAAAACAAGAAAGAAAAGAAGGAGAGGCGCAAGTGCCCGACCGCAGAGCCGGCCAGCGGTCCCGGCGCGGGGCTCCACGGAAACTATGGTGGCAGTCCACAGTGAAGGCTGCAGCGACGAACGCGGGGGCCGCACGAGCGCACACCCGCAGACCCCCACGAGACGGCGGCAGCTGCGATTGCTGGGAGCCGCCCCCAACAACAAACACATGCACACACACGGTGAGCCTGCAGTTTGCGACGGCTTCCCGCATAAACCAAAGCAGAAACAATTTCAAACAAAAAAATGCATGAAAAATGAAGTCGAAAAGTAACATTTTTTCAAATGCCCAAACAATGATCAAAGTAGCGGCAGCACACCGACACATGAAGCAGGTTCCTTCACTATGCAACTCAAAAAACAGAAACCCTCGCAGTGACACCACCGCCATCACCTCAAACGCAAACACCCGCCTACCCAGCCACGCCGCAGTGCCCGAGAAAGTAAGGCACCACAGCGAGACAATAACAAGTCGTTGTAGTAACGCTGACTAATAAACGGGCGGAAAGTGGGGCTTTACTTGATGTTAACCAATTCTACTCAATCACTATGTTGTGGGGTGTACGAAAAGACGCCTCTTCAGGGTAATGGGGGTACATTGTTTTCCGTATTTAACTAAGGGAGTCACTAACATCCTCTCTTCTGTTGTGGTTGTTGTTTCCTACAAACTAGTTCTTCTCCGAGATTTTTCTTTTTAGCTTGGGGAGCGCCTCCTTCCCAGGAAGGGGCGTAGAGTTTTTGCCTAAACAGCAAAAAAAACTGTCATCCAGCACGCGCGACCTTCAGCTCCGCGGGCCGGAACAGTTCGCCGGGGAGGCCTCGGCCCACCGGTCACTCTGGCAAGAGTTGGAGGACCATCACGGACCAGTTCAGCAAAGACTCTGGGTGCAGCCTGCAGAAGTGACCACGAAAAAAACTAGACCGGCGGGCAACCGTGATGAGCAAAAATTCATAGATATTCCCGTCTACTCTTTCCGTGCGGGCTAGGCATCTATTTCTAGAGCCCACCCATTTTCCCCGCTCCATTTCTTTTGCTTCCCTTTCGCCTGCCCAAGCCCAAGAGATGGAATCATAATTGAGACCTATAAAAAAAAAAGAGTGGGAAATCAAAGTATTTGATAACCGACAAGGGAAAAGGGGGAAAATATTGCGCACAACACTATAATATTCAACTCCTCTGCCGCCTCAATAAACCTCTCACACGCCACACGAATATGCTGCCGTTGGCGTTGTTCCAGCGCGCATAACGCAATAGCATTGGTCGCTGCAACAACAACAAAAAAAAAGAGATTTACCTTTTGGTTGTGTTTTTGTGTTTCGTTTTTCAAACACACACAAACACGCATACATACACTGGTCCCCTGGAGTATATTTAACAAGACTCCGCGTGCAGTAGCACTCTTGGCATATGCCTGTCTACTTCCTTCACCCTGCACGTGTCACTCCGACGTTGTACGAAAAACCTAACGCAGAGGCAAAACAATTCAGCAAGGAGACCTCAATTTTTTTTTCCAGTTTGTTTTCCTATTGGTGCCCTCTTCCCCCCACATTATCAACGTGCGTGTGGTTCGTTTTGGCGGGGGCAATGGTAGCCATGTGTGACACCTTCATGTGCCCTCACTTACTTCCCCGTACACTCTGAATCAATTGTCGAGAATGATATGTTCCCGTGCCTGCCCATCTGTATCAATCGCTTTACACTGGCGAATAGCGTAGAGCAGCTTCTCACGCATGGCATCGTAAGAAGTGTACGAGGGCAAGCGAAGCGTGAAAAAGCAGGTGCTGCTGGTCGGGAGGGAGTCATGCGTTCCACTCCGTTGAACCTTGATGGCCTCCCTCAGTGGCAGCCGTGTTTGGCCGGTGGTGAAGCGCAAGAGCAGCATTCGATCTTCATCCGTCATGGAGGCGAGAACATCCAAGAACATCTGTGCATCCGTGGGGGGCAGAGTCACTTGGCAAACCCCAAGTAGTGCGTCGTAGGAGAGTTTTGGGGTCCCACATATCATCAGCTCAACCTGTTGCCAACGAAACGCGTTAAGCGTGTACAACGGAACCACCTCGTCAAAGCCACGCTGGATGTAGCTCACTGCAGTGTCGTACTTGTGAAGCTCAAGCGACGAGATATGTTCACCGAGAGCCCTTGCCGAGCAAAGCGTCGAAGGTGGGAGCTCCGCCCCCAGGCCCAGTTGCGCATTCTCCGCCACAAATAAAGACCAGCTTTCCAAAATGCCTGGAAATCGATCCTCGAGTTCTTCCGCGGTGAGGTCCATAAGTTGCTCTGGGGTCAGTTGGCGCATGATGTCAAGGTCGATGGCAATGAGGTCCTGGCATGTGGTTTCCTCAGCGAGTAAACGCTTCCAAAACAGCGGTGGAAACTTCACGGCTAAAAGGTCTTTTGTCAGGAAACACGATGCGAGCAGTTTTCCAAAAAACTCAAACATAAGCGACGACTGTGAGTTGAGGGCCATCGAGACATTGGGCATCACTGCAGATTGCCCTCCACGACCGCATTGCGCAAAGAGCGGATTTAACTGAAACGCCCCATTCGGGTGCGTCGTCATAATTTCAGTGGCTAACTGAGAAAGAATGTCACGGTAGGGCCCACCGGCATCTGTAGAACCAAATCCTGCAAGCTTCACCGTAAACATAGGGGACGCATAAAAGGTGGAAATGGGACTCTTCTGAAGCTGCACAAACAATTGACCAAAGATGGAACGCATGAGCGTTGGGTACGGTCCCAGTCGCATCAAGGGAGAGGCCTGCATTGTATGAACAATCACACTCGCCTTATGCCCGGAACGATTTCGGAACGGTCGCATCGTCTCGTTCTGAATTTTCTCAGAAGACTCCGCGGAACAGAGAAATTTAAGTTTTCGCCATAACTCAAACAACTCCGTCCTTCGCCTGAGATCCACCACAACAGAAAAGACTGAGGTCAGTACATCAAAAATTTGGAGCCGCTTCACATATGGAACCAAGGAGTCCAATGGGATGTCATTGCTAAAGGCGCCAACGCCAAGAAACTCCGACAAGTATGGAAACCCTGCCAAATCGTGTGCATGAACTGTAACAACGGCGTCATTTTGAAGAGAAGCAGAAAGTTTTTCTGAACTCACGACTGTTTGACAAAACAGAGCCAACTCCGCATAAAAATCATACGACTGAGGAATAACCCCCGTATCGAGGCGACCTGGAAATTCTTGTAGTCTATTGTAGAGCTGGGCAACGTCCATGCCTGTGGAAACGTCAGCGAGGTGCTCGCCGTTGAAGGTCGCATCCTCCTCGCGGTCCGCAAAAAACACCGGAAGCGCCAGCGTTTCATTGGGATACGTCTCAAAGCGGGTGACACTTTCATTGCGTACACCGCGCCGAAGCGTTATAATAACGGCCTGTTCATGGTACAGACATTTCACAATCAGCACGTCTCCCACTTTTGCCCGGGCCTTCAGGGGCTGAGACTCTCTTTTGCGACTGAGACAAACATAAACTTTGCCGCTAGGATCAACAGAATAGCCACAAGAAGGTAACTGAGTTCTTCTCGACGCCTCTTCTGTCTGGGCTGGCTTGAAGGCACGAGATCCAGGTAATCCCGCCTCCATTTCCCATCCAACTACCACGTTCCCTTTCCGTGCAGAGTTTAACACCACTTCAAAGCGCTTTGCTCCAAAGGTGGGCCGAAATGTCTCGGAAAACACCCCATAACAAGATCTAACCCCCTCATTAGAGGTGGTTCCTGCACGCAATTCATACTCAATGCGATGCGCTTCATTAGTGTCCTCTGTGAAGGCGTAGGGTAAGGGAACGGGTGGATTGCTTGTAATGGAATCAAGCGCAATTTTCGTAGAAATAGCCACCGCGTAGGGGACAGCCGACTTCTTTCCTGGCGGTGTTAGTGTCGGACGTTCCAATCGATACCGTCGTATCAGCTCGCAGATGAGTGAAATACCAAGTTGCACCACAACCGATGACGTTCTCCCTTTCCAGCACAAACCGTTCATCATGCGCAGGAGAGGATCAAAGGATGCAGAGAGGACCCCATGCGGAGGCAAAGCGCATGGGTCTGTCTTGAGTAACTGAAGAACGCCACGAAGCGCCATATGCCTGATTGATCGAGTGTAAACCGTGGCGGTGCGAAGCAGCAAGAGCGTCAACGTTGGTCCAAATGCGGTGGAAAGAAATGGGAGAACGGTTTCATTGGTTAGGGAAACAAATATAAGATTGACACTCGTCTCCACCTTTTCGACTTTCTGCGCCACCGTTGGGGTTGCAAGGCAGGCACACGCAGACGCAAGCAAAAAGAAGGACGACCTCCGCATCTCCGTCGCAACAAGCGCCTCCAAGGCAACCAAGTCCCCACGCAACGGGGTAAATGGGAGCAATACCTGCAGTTGCTTGCTTAAACTCGACGCTTTGAACCTCAAAATGACTGTTGCAAACAGCTGCCGAGCATACGACACCATAGTAGCCTCTATCTGAGAGACAATCCCCATGTCTGCCTTACGCGAGGCGATCGAATTTACAGTTGCTCGTGAATGCCGCGTCAAAACTCCTACGAAGTGAGACACGTTTGGGGAGATGCATCCCACGCCCAAGCGGCTCCATATCGTCTCCAGCACATCCCGTGAGATGATTGGAGCAACTTTCTCAAACACGCGCCAATGCAGGACCTGCACCGAGGCGGCGAGGCCGGATAGAGAAATGGCCAGTTGAAACTCCGAGGGGCAATCCGCGTCGGGAATGACTTCATAAATCATTCCACCATTCACCGACGCAAAGGCCCTTTTTGCCTGTGGAAAGACGCGCAAGAAAAGATGCACACATTGAACACCCCCTGAAGAAGAAGCAGAGGCGAGGTAGCAATCCTCATACTGCGCAAACAGCGGCAGCGGGATTGGAAGAGACCAATTCGTGAGTGAATGCTGAAATGTTAGTTGAACCGAGTGACGACTTGAACTCACGATACGCAGTTCAATTTCGTGGATTCTTTCTCCCCCGAAAATCGGTTTGGTCACGGTGCAATTATAGGGCCCACCATGTGCAGTTTGCCGAACGCACCGATTAAACACCTCCAGGGACGCAGACTGAGTATGCAGTGTGACACATTGGCTGCTCCAATTCTCCCACGATTCCACCTCCATAAAAAAATGTGCGAAGGGCTGCCGCTGCTCCGTCATCGCTGCTGGCGTCGTCGTCGTCCCATCCTCCGAGGTTTGCCTCGGTGGATCCAACAAGGGCAGTTGGGTCACACGGATGCCTCGCTGAGACGTCACGGAAGCTGCTTTCGAAAACACCGCTGTTTTCCCCTCCTCGGCAGAACATCCCAGCAACGCGCCATTGAAGAGAAAATACTTCTGGAAGCGCGCGCCCGCACGAACAGAGACGAGGGCGGTCGTGGCGGTTGCGGGGTGGACAGTTATATCGTCGGTGCGACGAGTCAGAAAAGCCGCCAGCGGAGCATTCGCGGCGCCTGGGCGCGTGGGGCCAAACACCAAATAGAGATGCTCTTCGGCAAGACTCCTCGTCAACCGTCTCACCACGTTGGGTGTGTTGTCCGACGACCTCACGCTTCGTGCCCATTCGTCAATGTGCAAAAAGGCCTGCCCGTGATTCAAGAGACTTTCAGTGGCGGCGGCTGAGGGCAAAGAAGTTACCTCCGATGACGTCATTAGGCGCAAGGAGGCCTCTGTCAGTGCAACAGCTTGCCACACCGAGACGAAGCAGGAGGCCGTGATGGGGTCGGAGACCCACCATGCAACCGTCGAGCGGAAGGCTTCACTGTCCGCGGCCGACTGCGTTCGTTCATGAAAGACAATTGGTTGATTGCAAGAGTACTGATGCGGCATCGCCCATGGAGGTATTCGCCTCTTGCAGAGAATTTGGCGAAGAGCCACATCTAATGATACCAACTCAGAGGATTCTGTAAAGCTGGCCCTCCTGAGGAGATGCTTGTGCAGCCATTCACAATTTTCCCCCGTGAAGACAAGATACTCATCTCCATCCACGTCAAGTACCAAAGCGGGGCGAGATACAGTCACAATCACAGGAGTCCCAAACGGATGCCGGTCCTGCTCCTCCTGCAAAAGTGTTGGGCTCTCGCAGGAGCCCGTCATCAGTCGACTCCTGTATCCCCCGGCGTGCGAGGGTAGCACGTACGTAATACTGCCTCGCAGTAATCGTTTCTGATTCTGAATGCCCATAAAAGGCACCACATTCTCCGATTTCTTCCCAACCGTAATACCTATGTGATCATTCTCTTCCTCCACAGCTGCCATATTCGCCCTCACACCGTCCGTCTCAGAGTAAAAAAGAACGCCATTACCACTTGTCGTGTGAAGAAAGAAGGCTACACGTTCTCCGGCTGGAATAGGAATGGGGTCAAAGTCTGTCAACTCCGTCTCTCGCTTGTCAATAAGCTTTATCTCTTGATCTAGAACTAGCCGCCACTCCGTTCTTTCGCTTTCCACACCCATAAAGGTTCCGTCGTGAACGAACAGTGTCACTCGAGCCAAGACCGTCGTGTCGGGAACAAAACTCAATTTAGTCACCCTTACCTTGACGTGCTTGGCGACGACGTCGAACATGATACCATTATATGACCCCGCCCCTGCGCCAAGGTGGTCGCCGGTGCGAAGGCAAAGCACCTGCCCCTCCACGGACCGCTTCAACTCTTCCGCAAAAACTCCTGCTTGGTCAAGCACCTCTGAAAAATTCAGATTTTGGTTCCGCAGCAGCTTCACGACGTTACTAAATTTGGAACCTGCCTTCAATAGACACGAAAGCCTAGTAAGAATATGAGCGCAACTCCACCTGTCACTTTCCATATTCCGTCTTCCATGAATTCGTAGCCCAGGAGAGGCAGAAGGGTCCTGGCAAAGCAAAACATGAACGTTCCACAGGGTGCAGGCAACCACGCTCTCCCCAACTATGCGAAGGTACACGTTCTTGGGACTCACGTGCCCGTGAGGCAGGTTGTGCAAGTGCCAGTGTTCCAAGGCGCTAAGGAGTGACATTGCAATAACCCTCTGTTGATATTCTTGCAGTGTGTCTACGGGCAGCGAATTCAAGGTACAGTCGTACCATCCAGACGTTATGATCCCACACCAAGAAGAAGAGGCCGCCAGGGGTTGAATAATTTCCTCTTGGTGCATCACACATGCATGCCTCGTGACCAGGTTACAGGGATGGATAAGCACCTCACTGTCGTCAAAGCGGAGAAGGTGAAGTGTTCGCTCACTTGGACCGTCCTCGGCAAAATACAAGAGGTGCACCATACTGTCGTCCTTCGCATGCCCAATGACCTCGTACCTGTCTGGCAAAGGCATGACAACTGTCGCCTCACCCCCTCCAGGGGAGTGGACTACCACAGCCCTTTGCTCCGATGCAGATAGACCTTGGATGACTCTTTGAATCTCCTCGGTAAGGCAAAATCTTTCCGCCGCCTCTTCTGCTGCGCGAGCCATGCGCCTTGAGAAGGCACCCACCTCCACAAGTACTTGCACCGCACGTGTTAATCGATAAGCAAAGCGGGAACAGTTAAAGCGATCACTCCAGGCTTCCTCGAGAAGCGATACCTGCCTAGATGGGAGAATTCCAACAACGTGACGAAACACGGAAAACATAGAAAACACCACATGGTACGGAAGTCGACGAAGAATCGTGGGCGTGATGGGCTGGGAGCTTAGTATCATAGACGGTGAAGTTAAGATTCCTCCGCTGCCCCATGCTGTGCAGGAAAAGGCTGCGATGGTCGCCGATGCCGCGGCGTGATCCAGGCGAACAAAGGGCGACACTGGCAAATTGGAAGGTATGTTGCGAAAGATGACTCGTGGCGATTCATTGTCTCGTGCCAACGAAAGGGTCCCATTTTCCCGGTCCAAAAGAAAGTGTAAATTTGTTCCAACCAAAAACATCTGATTGCTAGAGTTCCCAAGAGGAGGGATAGGTTCCTGTGTTGGTAACGAGTCTGCATCATACACATCTTGCACGGCCCACACACTGTCAACTTCTTTGCACATGGCCCCAAAGTGGGGCGTCAGTTGGTGAAAGGTCGACACCACAATACCCGCAAAGTGTCCAGACCCCAGTGAGTCCCCACGTGCACGATCGGAACGATCCATTTGGATGACAAATGCAGACAACCCTGTCATAGGAAGAGGCGATCCAATAACGGCTTGGCCGCCTTCATTACAGCATCTGGCCGTGAGACCATTTCGCGAAATATTCACATTTAGCGGTTCGTAGGAAACCCACTTGGGTACGTAAAAGCCGGGATCTGTTGCGTCATCGCTGAAGCAGTTGACGGGTCTAGCACGCTTCACAACAATCGGGGCATGAAGATGCACCGTCACTGCATCCGACCCCACATTCACGACAGCTATCCTTGGTGATAAGCCCCTTGGAGAGTCCAACTGAAGATCCTCCGCGGCAACATGGCAGCGTATGTTGTCATCCTCGTCGTAAATCAAAAAATCACCGTCCACAGTGAGCGCAAGGTTTAGCACCTCATTTCGTGAAAGGCTAAAACTGCAGCGAATAGTATGATTTCTGATTTTGTCCAAGAAGACTGTGGTAAACGGCTTTGGTACAAGGACATGCACCTCGAGGAAAAAGACCTTCTCGTTTGTGTCAGAGGCCACTGAAAACTGCCAGAATCGAGGTCGCCCCGCTGGCCAATTCGCGAAATCAAAAGGGCCTTGCAAGACGCAATTTTTGCCTGGTTGCAGCTGAGCCGTGTCACGGCCACTCTCCCACGTCCACCTCTGCACCGAGGCGAGGGCCAAGGGCGATGAAGTGGGAAATTTCACCTCCTTCACACTCAAATAGAAATGAATGCAGCCATCGCCGGAAATGCACGAGTAGTGTAAAGAGGAAGCCAACGTGGGTAGTTCTTGATGAATGGGTCCCCCTTTAACCGCGTAGTACACCTGGGACGCCGACAACAAATCCTGTCGCGTGCCATCTCGAAGAATGACCTCCAGCGAAAGAGCGAAAAGTTTCACCGCGGCATCGACGCCAAGACGAAATGGAAGATCCGAAAGAAAAATAATCTCCCACGCATCCGCAACGCGTGTAAAGGAAACAGACACAAACGCCCCCATAACTTCGTGATAGGTAAAAGGACAAACAAATCCCAGTGATTTTATGTCCTCCTTTCCCCCAAGTAGAAGATCGGGAGATATCGTGTACTCCACGGCCCAACCATCACAGGCCACTGCAACACCGCCGCCCATTTGCGTGGCAGGAATTTGTAAATTCATACGACACCTACGAGACATGGGATCAAGCACTAGAGATTTCGCACATGCCGCACTGGCCTCTGCACTCAAATGCCCCCGTTGAACTAGGTACCTTGCGAAGACACTCATAAGTTGCTCCTCCTCACGCAATAATGGCATATGCCTTTTTCCAGTTTTCTGGCAAACCTCCTGCGTCGCAAAGGGCTGGTTGCAATCTGGGCAAATAATGATAGGGAGTAAATGATCCACAGGAAGTGTCCGGTGTTGGTTGAGGGTTGCCTCACACCTCGCCAACACATGCCAATTATCACTCGGGTCCCCAGCAAGACGAACCAGCTGTCCTGAGAGGTCGGCTTCCGTACCACTCGCCACCAGGGCGAGGTCCCCTTTACCAAAGGAGCTGAAGCGTGCGGTGTCCTGCGTAAAGAGTGGTAGGGTAACCGTGCCGTCACGCAATTCATCAGCAAGGTTTCCCCTCATAGTGCTACTTAGCAGATTTCCTGCCGCCTCCGCGTCGCAAAAAGCCGTCGTATTCGCCGTGGCAAGTTTTGCAAGGACGTCAATGACATTTTTGTCCTCAAACAGGGTGGAGGCGGCGGAGGAGCCACCAACGTACGCAATCAATGCCGCCAAGATGCGCGTCACCACCAAGCCCCTCAATGCAGGGAAGACAGCATGGTTTCGCGCCAAGGAAGCCTTTTGAATAAAAGTCCGATAAATGATACGCCCCCGGAGCGCCCGAGGCTCAGCTGGAATTTCAGCAAACGGTAACGGCGATTCACTTTTTTTGCCCACAAAAATTGTTAGCATCCCATCATCCTCAAATTCGTCTCCAACGTCCCCCAAATGACCATCACTGCTGTTGTAAAAACGCACGCCGCAGCTTGAGGTGGTATTGATGTAAACTGCGTACACCTGACCCGCCCGAAGGTGCAAGTTGAGCGGACCAGGGGAAAAGAACTGCTTATCGGAGAGGTGAAGGTCCTTAGAGACGGCTTCCTGCCATTGGGAAGCGATCTTCTCCGCGCCTTCCAAACTTCCCTCCTTCCAAAAGACCTTCACATTCACGTTGTCTGTCGTTGTCTGGGCGACGCAAAAGACTTCCTCCAGCAAAATATCCCGCCTGCTGCGGATATCAAACATAATTCCATTATATGATGCGGAATTGTTTTGGTTCAGGCGTCCACCAGTAAAAATAGAGCAAACTTCATTGCATTTGATGACATTACTTGTGATGGTGGCAACAATGTCACCCACAAACCCCTGAGCAGCATAAAAGTTGTTTTTTACCGTATAACTCGCGTCGCAGGAGGCTAAAAAACATGAAAGCCTGGCACTTTTTCTCCCCTCCAAGGCGCCCTCAATTTTTGAGCAAGTGGCTGTCACTAAATATCGGCCTCGCTTCAGCAAAAGAGCGAGGCCGTCCATGCAGAGTTCACACATATCGTTTCGAAGAGGCAACATGGCGTTGTACACCCACACCCATTTCCGCTCCGTGTCCTCTGCAACAGCAAGCTCCTCCAACGGGGAATAAAACAGTGACAAGAAGAGCTGTGTCGGGCCCCTAGCTTGCCTGACGCCCGCACCAGTGAGAATTGGAAAGACAACTTTCCGAACCAGAATGGGAGCCTCAAAGACTTCCATGACAAATTCCACGTTTGCAACCACGCGTGTTGAAACGGGAAGACTTTGCAGAAAAAGAACATCATCGTAGCCCTCATTTTTGTTCTGTAGAGTTTCCAAATATGTTGGGACTCTTTCAATGAGCGGTGGCCTCGTATCCTTGTTCTGCATGTACATGATGGAGCCACAAAAGCCTCGTGGGGTGGGAACGGTTTCCAAAAAGGGTGAGCTGCTTTCACTTGTGCGTCCGACAAAAACTGTAAGGATGCCATCCGAGTCCATTTTACTGGAAATAGTCCCGGAACAGCCATCTTCTTTGGTGTAGTGCCCAACGCCACAATTGTGGGTGGCATTAATGTAAAGGGCAAAGGTTGTATTCGCTTCGACGTGTATGCCACTAAATTTAACGGCAAACTGACGCTCCGAGTGCATCTCGACAAAGTTGGAAAACACTTTGGTCCAGGCGGTTGCGTCACGCTCATGCATATGATGCGATCCCTTCTTAAAAAACACCTCCACCCGATTTCGTCCGGTTGTATGCGTCATGACAGACAGCCCCGTCAGCACTATCGTGTCGTGTGCCAGGAGGTCAAACATAATTCCATTGTAGGAGCCATTGCGTTGGGGTCGGTACTTTGTTTTGCCCACCTCAAACACACGCGTAACTGTGCTTGTCGGTAGCGTAGGGAGTGCATACAAGCCTTGAAGGACTTGGTGGGGCCCCTCATTGTCCACAATATATAAAGAGGACAACTGCAGTGAAAACCAAATACGTTTCTCTTCCTCGTCGCGTACATTGACCGAGTTATTTTCAATCGACATCACTGTGCCGCGCCTTGGCACACTAAGGCTCCCGGCTTTAAACGCCACCCGAGAGTCAAGCTTCAGCCGGGCGGAGTCCGCGGCAAGAGCACAGAAGCGAACATCCTTAGCCCGCACAGCGTACCTTCGCTTTCCTGGGCACGGACACAAGCACTCCACGATGCCAACATCGTCGCCGTAGGTTCGCACAACTCTGCCCAGGTGCGACTTCCCGTAAAGCGGCGGGACAAGCGTCGCAAACGTCCCACGTGTCGAAAAGTAAATCAAAAGTTGTTCATTTTTGGAATTGTCGTGCTCCGTCAACTTGCGGGTCGCCAGCAACAATCCGTTTCGGTAAACAGCCACCACCTTTTCCTCGCGGGTTATCGTGAGGGTGTCGCCAATGGCAAACAGTATCCCCGAGCCCTCTTCCGTCGCAAGTGGCGAGAGTTGCCACGATGCGGCAGAGTGTGCCAGCGTGTGGGCAACACTGTCAAAGATGAAGCATGAGGAACGCATGACATCCGTCGCGGGTCCAATCGCACCCTCGCGAAGGAAACCAACCGCCACAGGCGAAAGACTCGCTTCCACAACACTGTTGTTGGCAGACAAAAATCCACTACGAGCCGTGACGACACAGGCGTCACGAGAGTAAACCACAACGCGGAGACTCGTTTCCTCCTCAGCAAGACCCGTACATGAGACGACGACAGGGTGCAGCTGTAGACCCAAAAGGGAGGAACTCACCAACACGGCCACTCTGCTGGTATCCACAAGAAGGTACAACGTGATTGAGGAGGAAACTTTGGTCTTGGTATCACACCATATGCCCCATACACTGTGTTCTGCAATGCAGCGATCAAGTTCAGCCGTGTTGATGAGGCGACAATCACGTGCGAGTTTTGTTACCCCCATAAATAAACCCGCCGTGTTAAACGAGCGAGCTCCCTCGCCAGCAGCAAACGTTAACTCCAGTACAACGCGTGTGCCATGCGGAATCACGGTTGAGCTTACCAGAAGCATATCGCTCTCCACACGACAGCTCGACTTCAAGATATTCCCGACGCGCCACTGCACACTAAAGGGCTGCAGCCCGCCAAATGGGAAGCCCTCCACACCCGCAACGTGGCCCAGCGAAATATCAACACGTTGGTTACTAAACGAATTGAGAGGGCCCAGCGTGGCAAAGGCCGAGTCATTCGTTGCCAAGCAGGCGGCCCCTTCAACCTTTATATTGACGCCTTTATCGCCCGCCCACGTAAGTACGTTGCTCTCCACAAATTCAACGACGTCGCCACAAATCAACTCCTTCGGGCAGTGTCTCGACACCATGTAGTCCGGAAGCGGATTTTCCACCTGAAAGAGGTGAAACATGACCTTGGGAAACTGCCAGCTGTTGAAGCATTGTTGGCACAAATATATGCCTCCCTCGCTTTCGTACCAAAACTTCGACAGTCCTGCCTCACAGGCGCTGCAATGCACCCACGAGGGGCGGCTTTCCCAGGCGGCAATCGCACCAAGAGGAAAAATACTCCTCGCAGGAAAGACCCGAGAATTCAAAAAGGAGAATACCACAACGGTGTCTGCACCGGCCAAAACGAACGGTCGTAACTTCTCCGCAAGAGGGATTCTCTCAAACAAAACGCCGAAATCCACGCACTTCCCACTTCGGATGCGTGAAAATGATGCCGTGCCCTCGCGGCGATCAACCTGAACAATAATAAGATCGCCCGAACCAAACAAAATATGACCAGAACTAAATATCATGCCAGGTTCCACAGCGCAATTGACACTGTTGGATTCCTCAGCGTCGTGGCTGCACAATGCCCAGGTTTTCTTGCAATGAACCACCTTTTTGGGGTCTGTGAAAAGCTCCGTCTCGGAGGAAACTCCCACGTACAACATAATGTCGCTACTTGACTTCGTCGTAATGCTCACGGCAAAGGTAAAGGCGTTCTCAAAGAGCACATTCCCTCTCACCACAGAGTACCCGCTCCCAGAAGTTACCGCAATTGAGGGATTAGGAGTATACAGAGAATTTGTCGACAGGCGTTGATCGATCGTTACCGGCGTCCGTGATGCAGGTTGGAAGCCGTTCACCATCATGAATGAACGCGACGTCGATTGAAGCAGTGACAAAGGCATGTCTGTGGAAGCTGCAGCTGCCGCTGTTGCACTCATGTTTTCTTGAAGAAGGTTAAGACCTCTCAAAAAGACCAGGTTCATGGTTTCAAGGGCCAGTTCACGGTAGTGGGTCTCAATGGCCCCACGTTTTTCTTCCTCACACCTCATCAACGGTGCAATCGCAGAGGCCTCGAACAGGCTCCGAGAGAGCTCCGCGAAAAGCCAACCACAGCACCGTAGGCTGTCGGGCTCAGAAAGGGAAAAGAGAAGTGGCTTCACAAAGGAAGACTTGAGCTCAGAGAGCTCTGTGGCAAAGACCCGCATGTCCCCATCGGCTTCGAGGTGCACAATAGCCTTTGAGGCGAGATCAAAAATAGAGTCCACCACAACGGCCCCATGTGTCTCATGCAGACAAAATTCACAGCTCTTCTCACCTCCCAATACCGCCAAGGCGAGGAGGCAGTTGTCAAGGTCTTGGTGTGCTCGCGACAAAAACCGGTGGATCCACTGGGAAACCGCGTCTCCAAAGTATGGAACAACATGCAGCTGCTGCAAGGTATGAATCGCCACACTGCGGCGTAGGCCACTCAAAAATAACTCACGGGAATCCTCAATTGGAACAGTAGCCTGAATCAATTCACAAACGGCGTCCTCATTGAAATGAAAAACAAAGGGATATAGGTTATCCACACATGAAATGTTGGCAAACGCCAAACCAATAGGAATCATCTTGTCCCGATAATACGTAATCTCCCCCGCGTCGGCGTTGAGCTCCAACCAGACAATCTCATCATTTCCGTATATTCGGCGTTGACTATTTCGCGGAATACAATGACGACGTAATAGCAGCTGTGGCACCTGATCCTGGTCATCTGTGTCTTGCAAGACGTAGACATCATCTCTGCTGATGAGGCTTGTCATGTTCGATACGGGCGGCTGTCCATGTGTGAGGCCCACGTAATAGCAACCACCCAACGGGGCACCCACTCCTCGACCTTCCTGCTGGCGTCGGCGGATGCGAAACCCAATCATGTGCCTGCCACGGGATGGCATAGGTGAGGCACCATAGAAAGCTCCCTTCCCCATCACAGTGGTAGCCCCACCAAGCCACCGAGGCACAAAAGCCGGTGTCTCATGCTCTAGAAACAGTTTCGTCCGCGCGAGGTCGACCAGGGAATTCACAATGGCCTCCTGTGTCATAAACCGTCGCAGGGCCTGGACCGCCTCTCCAAAGTAATCTTGTCGAAGTGTTCGAGCTGCATTTCGCAAACACCGCGCGGCGCGAACCTTGGCCCAGCGATCATGTGCATCAATTAAAGTAAAAGAACAAAGCCGCAGGACCTCCAAGTGGGTTGTGCTTGTCACGGCATTAAACCGAAAGCAATCAATAACAACGTTTACCGTAACAAAAAGCCGCGCTAATAGCAAATTTCCGTCCCGAACGCACCGCGAGCCTGCGGTGGGGGATGTCGTATTCATTGCGGAGATAGCTCGCAGCCGACGCACCAACTCCACGACCACCTCACGGAGAAAGATGGCTGCCTCCTCCAGTAACGCACAGACAGAATCCTCATTTATGGTGGATTCATTCTGTTCATGGTGTAGTAAATTCTTGTAGCAGAGCGTCACCAAGTAGTGCGCCGTCACAAACGCGCTGTCAGCAAGCATCGGATTTGTGTTGAGGCGTGCTCGACAGGAGCCGTGCAGGGTTGCCAGATCAAACCGAAAAGGGCTGTAGCTCCCAAAATTGACAACAAGCTTGACAAGGCTAGCCGAGGCTTGAGCCGCAACGAGGGGCCGCATCGTTTGAAAGGAACACTCTGTGGCAATCCCCAAAAACTCACCATTTCGTGTAAAGAAGACAGAGTTAAAAGGTGCCATGACGCCACAGCCAATCACATCTCCAGCTAACCAACTCGTGCTAAATTGAAGAGTGGATCTTCCATAGGAAACCGTGCCATCTGAGGAGAACACCACAGCATTCTCCTTTGCAACAGGCATGGTGGTTGCAAATGGAGAACTTGTAATTCCAATGGACACCAAAAGCCCTTCTTTAAAGATAATTTCCAACTGCACCTCAAAATAAAGAGCATGTGGCATCTCTGTCACAAGGCATCCACTTGATAGTCCTGGAAATGAATCAATTTCGTTGGGTGTGCGCTTCAAGTACGTCTCGATCTTGAGAGCTCTCCACGTATTACGTGCCAAGCAACAAACATCCATATCCTCCACCTGAACTCCAATGGTGTCCCCCTCCACAATGCTGACCCGCTCGACAGACTGCAGTGAATTGGGAATGACGACGGCTCGGCAAAGTAGGCTGAAAATACCACACTCCTTTAAAAAGTCAAGCCAGATGTCATTTTCGGCAGATGTTTCCAGTGCAGTGACTGAACTATCATCAAGGCCCAAAAACATATATTTTTTTAAAACCCTAAAAACATTTGCGGGGCGAATGATGGACATATCCACATTGTCCCATGGATGGCAAAGCATCGCACAGAGGGAGATGGGTTCAACACCACCCTTTGGTTTACTGCAGGCCCCAGATTCAGGTAGATGCAATAAATTTTGCTGAATGACGGAGTGGAGAAAACTGCATGAGGCATGCTGTAACTCGAGCTCTCTGTCAAAGCCACAACCAATCATATAGTCAATATAGTGATGTTCCATGGAGTCGGGCCGAGAGGATCCAGCTGGGTTAGCCGACGCGCCTCCTCCAGTTCCGCCCTCGGGATCCCCATTCTTGCCTCCATGGTGCTGCAGATGTGCCAGCTCTCGGTAAAGAAGATGCAAACTCACTATTGCCGATGTCATACCCTCATCCGATTGATGGGCGGCACACAATTCCTCCTGGAGCTTATATGCGGCTGTATGAATCATGGCCTGTTGAGCCTTTTTAACGAGCGCCTGTACAAGCTGCTCGTTACTCATTCCATTGTGTCCACGAAGAAGGAAATTCAAGATCTGTGAGGACGTGTTTTCAGGGCTCGACTGCATCCACTCATTTATGGGGGCAACACCCAAGAGAGCATCACGCGGTCGCAGAAGGCTCCCCGCCGTGTCATACTGAAGATTTGACAAGTCCGACGCCCCAGCACCAAACCACTTCTTCAGGCTGACGCTTCTACTCCCAGTGCAGTCGCGGGAGCGAGAAGCAACACTTGTAACGGATCTAAAATTTGGCATCAAACGGCGGCTTACAGATCGTGATTCACTTGTAATCGGTTCCTCTGTCTGTTGATATTCGGCAATAATCGCCTCCAGCCTGGCACGCGGATTCACCATTTTTAGCAGAAACTGGGACCGTTGCAACATGGCATCCATGCCTCCTTGCTGAAGCGCCTCAAGTATGAGAAATGCCTTTTTGCGAATAAAATCAAGCGCATCCTCTAACGACTTTGCAAGAGGGACACTTCTGGGACGATGCGAATGCCATACATGCGAAGCGCAAAATGAACGCAAAAGCGGTTCCAAACGTTCTTGGTAAGGTATTCGCCTCTTGCCATACATTATCTGCCATTCCGAAAGAAGCTCGCCTGTGCCTTCACACAGCTGAAGGAGCTCCGCCTGATCAGAGGTGTCTAGCAAGCGCTCTGCCACATCCGAGCCGGCACAGTGTTGCTTTAATACCTCCGGCGACAGGCCACCGCGGAACAGACTCTCCCTTGAAAGAAGAATGGTGTCCGGAAGGTCGGTGAGTAGCAGCTGATGCGTAATACGGAGGATGGCTTGACTCAACGCAAAACACATTTCTCGAATCCAGTCCGTGGACTGGGTCTGTAATTCAACCTGGGCAGTGACAGTGAGCGTGGCATCCTTGTTTTTACCTGTAGGTATCGAGGTAATCTCCAGTTTGCCTCCAGACTCAAACACCACACGATCGGCATCCAGTGTCTCTGACACTCGCTTGAAGTCGTTTGTCACAACCGACACCTGCACCTGTGGAAGTGCCTCCAGGTGCGGTTCCTCATATGCCACCTCAATGTGCCGAGCATGGCGCAAGTCAAACGCAGTTGAGTGTGTTGTTGCTGCCGGCGCAAAAACTCTATGCGTCTCTGTGAAGCAGTGTCTCACAGACTGCGGCGAGGACGAAGGAATGTAGGCAGCAAGTGCCTCTCGTGTTCCGTTGAGCAAGTATAACACCTTCACCGCTACACTGGTGTCAATGTCAAGGTCGGTGAGAAAGTGGGCGATGGGGAACACGACGGTGCCAATGGAAGTTTGCTTCAACTTATCCAGCTCTTCAGCTGCCCACTTCTTTCCCGGCAGCGTTGGGGGAAAGAGGCGGCTAAAGATGCGTAAAATGCCTTTACACAGGGAGTTGAGGAGGGCAATCGAGGTCAACTGCCACTGGGAGTTTTTCTTCTGTGAAAGAATACCCAGCAACGTCGCCAGTGTTGCCGTCGAGGGGCGAAAAGAGGCATTTTGCCCATTCAGCAGGCACTCGGACTCCGCCAGGCACTCCTCATTGAGGCGATTGAGAAACTCCATGAGCGGCTTGTTCAAGTCCTTCTCAATGACGCTCGCCACCAATGAGGGCAGATACTCCGGAACAAGCAGGTCTTTCACATCCTTGAGCCGCCTAGCCTCCATCATGCGCCGCAGCTGATAGTCGTGACTCACACATTCAACGAGAAACACGCGATGAAGCTTCACAAAGACTCTCTGAACTTCGGCTAAGAAACTTTCAGGACCGCATTGGTGCTCGTAAAGTCGTTCGTACATGCCCACCACCGTAGAAACCAACCTCGGCGGACACCCCCGTCCCATCCATCGTATTTGCCGCGTCAACAAGCGTCCACAGACAGACAGAAGTAGGAAATGAAAGTCGTTTTCCACGTCCAAGGAGGCTATTCCCGCAATCAACTCCTCGCAGATGTCAAGAAGTCGAGAGACAGTCTGAAGAGAGACTTCACTGCAATGAAACAACTGCGCCGTATGATGCTTATCCACGCCACCTCCCATATCGTTTAATAGCGCAGTGGATATGTGGTGCAGCAAGTACTTTGACAACAGAAGCGGCGTCGGTGGACGCCTCTCCTTCGCGAGAATGTGTATTTTCTCACACATGACGCCACCACTCTTCATGCTTGGGAGAGCATGTATGTAACTCGTCGGAAACGATGGTGTCTGAACCCATTGAAGGCTGCAGAGGCCACTCTTGTCAGAAACAATGCTATACATTCGGCTGGTGTAGGTGCAGAGATAGTACAACTCACTCGGCCTCACATTCAAAAACCGCTGCTCCAGTATGCGTCCCGCCGCATCTACCCACGTGCAAAACCCATTTTCCACTATAGCCATTTCGCATTCATTCGTCACAACGTAGTAGTCCGGGGCGGGAAGGTACGGGATCACCTCTGATTCCTCCACAGCTCTTCCGCGGGCAGACTTCCGCGGCGCACACCAAGATGGGGCGGTGCCGCGCCAAACGTGCGTCCCGTTCGCGCTGCGGAGACAGCACCCGGCCCCCTCGTTCATTTTAAAGGAGCACAACAGGCTGGTCTCTGACGCGCGAGAAAGGCTTTCGGCGTCGCTTGAGACAAGCTCGCTGATGGATTCGGATCGGTGCCATATTTGAAAACCAGAGATAAACCCACTAAATGACCCCTCCAAAAACCGAATGGAGGCCGCCGCTGGCGCAGCCGGTTGAAACATAACGTCTTCGCTTCCACTGCTCTCGAGTAGCACGCCGTCCTTGCTGACATTCCAGCCGGCTACCTCGTTCGAAGAAATTAGGGTGGCGCTCCACAGGGCCCACCCCTCCTGCATGGCCTCTTGAATTTCCGTCACCACACCACCGCAGTGATCAAATACAATACATACACACGAGTTGCCGCCATCCACATCTATCCGTACAGAAAGCCAGTTCCTGCCAGATAAACTCAGGCTAATAAGCTCGAGCGAGGTGCTTTGCGAGGTTGGCTGGACATACAAAAAGAACTGAACAGTGACGGATTGGATCGTGGGTGCAATGTAAATCACACTCGGCTCCACCGTCCCTGTTATTTTCATCGATGCGTCAAAGCCGGCAAACAAAGGTGCACGGGCGTCGTGGAAAAAATGTGGTGACACGAATTTTCCCATTCCGTAGTACACCTGAAACTCCTCGTTCGCCCGGGCACCGCAGACGTCCAGCACGTGGCGCACCTGTAGCGTTTCCACGTCGTAAAAGGTCACCACCCCGGCACGCTCCGACTGCACGGCGACCTTGTCCTTCTCTAGAAAAACCCCGTGACAGTCCTTCAGGTGGATGTCTTCATTCCTGACAAGAACATTGTAAGGCGGCTTTAACGGCATCTTGTAAATTCCATTCCTCGTCAGTAGAATGCCGTGGGGTTCATCATTGTGCAGCACGACGCAAACGCCAAGAATGCTTCGTGAAAAATCCAGCCCGAGTGAATGGGCCAGTGGGATGTACGACTTCGCCCGAGAAAATGGGAATGAAAGACGCATGCGCGGGCGCACAAATGCCTGTATGGAGGTGATCCATGGCTGAATTCCATGCAGTGGCAATTCCTCCGCCGTCGCTGGATGGCGATAGACCCACCTAAGCAAAGATAAAAGCGTGTCAAGTTTTTTGGAGGCCAAAAAGAGCTTAAACAAAAGTGCAATTGCGCTCCTCAACCAGGCGTCGTCTTGACGGTTGCTGGAGCCACGCTCTGGGGCGGTTTCCTTTTCGGCCTGGAGAAGCAGCATACGCGTCAGCTGCTGCAGCCCCCACGACTGAAGTGACACACTCGAAGAGTTCAGACCACAGCGGTCCACAACTCTATGCAGCAAGCGAAGGACTCGTAGGTGTACTTTGGGCTGCAGCGAATCAGACAAAACGGCCACGGCCCAATCAAGAGAATCCACGTGATTGGCGTCATTAGAAGGAATCTCCACATCATTCGGGTTCCATCCTTCGCCATCCGCAGTACTACTGTCAGCAACAAGTTCTTCACCAGTTTCTGAGCTCTCATCTTCCCAGTTCGGGCGCAGCAGGTCCTCGGAGTATGAGTTAACGGCAAGAGAGGCCTCTTCCGTCTTCTTCGCCCTCAGATTAACAGCTGCCTGCACAAGCAAGGATCGGAGGAAAACGAGAGTGGGAATTGTGTTACGTCGGGTAATTTCAACAGCCGTAAGTCGCATAAAGCGGGCCACCTGGTCTGTGTCGGGATGGCGCACATTTAAAATGTCGGGAATCTCCGGAAGGGGCGAAAAGGGGGCAAAAGTTAGGTTCTTGGCGTTAGCAGGCAGCAATGGCCACGCCCTAGAGAGAACATCCGCGGAGCTATACTTCACCAAATCCTCCAAGTTCAGAGACGCCATGCCCTCTACGTCCATATGCAAATACCCAAAGGGGTAAAATCCACGCGCCTGATTCCACACGCTCTTCTGCGAAGGCTTGTTACAATAACGATACACCTCCGGATAAACGACAGTGCGTCTGCTCATACTTATATCACGCTCCTCAGTATTGGGACCCGGTCTTGGCGGTCGCCTACGCCGACTCACTGGGCGTACCTCGTGTTGCGCTTGCGGTGACTGCTGCTGCGGTGACTGCTGCTGCGGTGACTGCTGCTGCGGTCGCTGTTGCGAGGGGCCACCGGCAGAACTGTCAGAACTGTAATCATCGTCTTCCTCCAAGTTCACAGAGTCTCTTTGCCGCACTTCAGGCAGCAGTAGTCCCGGTAAAAGTCCCCCAAATTCCATAGAAACGTCCCCCGCTGGTCTTTCCCCGGCAATTTCGCCCGGAGAAGGCGTTGTGCCCGGCTGTGTGCCACTTAAATCGGACATTCGCCTCGCTG